CAAATCACCCACTGAAATTTTTTTCTCTTTGATTTAAATTAAATTTAAGTGTGAACAAGGGAATGCCTCCTATCCAAAATATAGAAGTAGAAAGCCAGAAGATGGAGGTCACATCGGCAAGATCAAAATGAGACAATATGGACGCCAAGATAAGCAAGAAATCACCAATCAGTGACTAATGCCTTACAATACATATTTGTTGCGACAATTCAATTGTCATATCAAGGTTAAAATCTGCTCATCAGTTCATTCAATGAAGTATTATATCAAATACCTATCAAAGTGGTCAGATCAAGCTGTATTTGCACATGCTACACATTGATTTTCCCTTTTATTTAAATTTAAATTAAATATGAACAAGGAAATATCTCCTATCCAAAAATATAGAAGGGGAAAACCAGAAGATAGAGATCACATCGGCAAGATCATTGAGCATCATTTTTCCCCCAAAATTATAATAATGATTTAACATCAGTCGTCATTTTCTTACCAAATATATGCGATACGTAACAAGGGGCGGGTAATTCGGCTAGTCATAATAATAAGTCCTTCTCTTAAAATTCAGATATCTATATCCTGAGTTTCTTAAAGCAAATACTTCTTTGCTTGCGGGGAATATGTTTTAATTCTGACGTCGTGTCTTTCTTCTTTCCCTATGATGGACTTGAATATTGCTAACTAAGGCACATATTTCAAGAAATATGCATCACAAGGACTCGTGCTATTAGCAACATGAATCTGAATCTTTTTAGCCGGTATAATTTCGCATTTAACATACTTGTCAGACGATGTTGTTCGACCCACATTATTGACTAGGATTCCAATATTTCATCTTGGATTCTTCTCACAATAAATTCCTAATGTTTTTAATTTCTTACTGCTAGACTTCTGTAGAAAATATTATATTAATATATTTGTATAGCGAAGAAAATGGCGAATTACCTCGTCAAACCAAGCGACAGTGTGTTGCGTGTATCCAACGACGGAAAATGTGTCGGAAAAGAAAATTACTTACCAAAAATAAGGGCACGTATTCCGCATGACATGCTGAAGAAGGAATATGTTAATTAAAAAACAAGTCCGTCGCAAGAGTCGCTATGAAAGTATTTTGATATGCAAAAATTGGGCGTCCTCTCCTAGCTGTCGACGAATAAAAAAAATGCTCGGCGATAAAAGCAGTTGGTGTTCTCGAATCGGGGACAAAAATTGGTGTATTTTGGATACAGCTTTCGTTGGAGAGTGAGTTATTTTTCTGACTGGTTACGTGCATTGGGATTTGTGAGAGAGTACCCGCGAATCGAGATTTCGGCATTTCTTTCTTCACCGATATTCGAGTCTGAACTTACAGTGATTTGTTCTCTGCGTTGTGGAAGTAATCTGCGACAAATATCTATCATAGTGTCACACAGGTGCTCCGCGCTTGCACGATTATGTTCAATTTCTGAAGAGGCAGAAGATTTTCCCGCAGTAGAATGACGTTTCATTCTGCGGTAGATGGCCTGCCAAACATGGCTATAGAACCCAGTGTGTCCTTCTATTCAAAGAGATATATACATAACTTTCCCAAGGGAATTTGCGCGTAAGTGAATATAAAGAACACGGCTGGAATTCGAACACGACACTCCGATTTCTCAGTCGATATCCATTACACTACAACGCACATATACCCGACTTATTTTAGAAATGAAATGATTTATTCGATACTGTTTCTTCCGAATATGAGAACACATTCTCAACATTATCTAATTTCATGATGAAGCGAAACACGGAATAGAGAATTTAAAATTCTTTTAGACATTTCTAAAAGAAAGTATTCCCCTTCAAATAGCCATGAGAACGTGATATTAAACATAAAGCGAATCTGCTACGTAAAGTCTGGCTTTTAAGTTTAAATTTAAGATGGTGTTTCACAGATGACGATTATTGAGATTGCATTTAAAAAGCACTGTGTTTCATCTTATCGTGAAGTTCAATTTAGTTTTTATTTTAAGCATATTTTGATATTTCTAAAAAACATTCACCTTTTCCTACGAGGACATGTCTAATAAATTGGCCTCCAAGAATATATGTCTGAATTGAATATGCCAGCATTCCAAAGAAAAAAAAGATGTAATTGTCATGATGTTTATTTTGGTAAAATTCTAAAATGAAATATGTGTCTAGAATCGCACGTCGCATAACTTTTGAAAAATCTTACAAAGATAGCGATAGGAAAAAAAAACACCGGTTTTCATATTTCAGATCAGTCTGATTATTTATGATCCTATTCGAAAGTTAATATTTAAAGAAAAATCAGTGTTGGAAATTTTATCTCTGCGTGAATGTTGACTACAGATTCAAGGCGATGGGGGAAAAAATCATTATTTAGATGCGGGACAGGTTGAGAAGAACAGGTAGTGTATGTAACCTCCTACATGCTGAATAACCGACAAAGGGTTGATAGACCGTAACAAATTCAAATCCCTTATTAAAATAATATTTAATCATTAACTAATCATCATGGACATTTTGCCCCGTGGAGTAAACATTAATCAAAATAGAGAACAAAGCATATATCCTCAATAGGCACTTAAGTTTGTTTCATAGTCAATTCTTGGCCAGTGGGTGATCTTAATAATGGATGCGCCGAAGGACAGAATACATCCTGGAATTACCTGCATGTATGTTAATTAGAAGAATGGTATATCAAAAGTGTCCTGCTTGATTCATGAACATCCGTATCCTAAGAAATACTTTAATTCTAAAGTTTAGAATTTGCCATATTAAATGCAGTAGAACAATTGGCAATTCTGCTTGACCTAATACGTCGAAGTCGACGGGAGAGTCGACGATATATATATATATATATATATATATATATATATATATATATATATATATATATATATATATATATAATGTGTGTATTTAGGCAGTACTCCTTCTTTCGTGCAAATTTCATTGAATACGACAGACAAGGTGCTTTTATTTAGTTTCTTTTTTTATACAATTTCTAATACCTTTTTTTTTTCGGATGACAAATTATATAAATTCTGTCCGAATGTTCTTTTTATCCGAGCCCTTTCAGCTATACATTTAGTCATTTTCAAGGATTAAATATTTTAACTGTTAAATAAGAAATAGTTTGTTGTGTGTATGTTTTTTTAGTTTTTCAAAAGACGGTCAAGATATTGTGTCCATGTTCAAAGTTAATATTATTATGTGTTTATTGTTTTTATTAATGTGGCTTCCATTATTTTTAGCCTTTTTTGCATGTAGATGATGCTATTATATTAGTGTTGTCAACAAGTATGTAACGAATAGTGTCCGGTAGGTCTCCATGAATATTTAAATAAGATCTAATTGAGCTATGCTCAAAAAGGTGTAGCGTGAGTCTGCGTGTCAAACATGTTGCAGTGTGGTCTATATAATTATTTACGAATTTTTAGTGATCAGGAATACAATTCCTTAATGGGCATTTAATATATATATATATATATATATATATATATATATATATATATATATATATATATTGCTGTGGAACACAACAGTAAATCTTAACTAATATAGTTGAATAAACTATATAACTTGGGTTATTACAGAAATGATATTAATATGAAAACGGTTCAAATGACGGTGAAATCTGCAGGAAGATTGTATGACGCCAATCTACCAAGTGTATCGATCCTTCCCAAGGAACCAGGTATTTAGTTTTAGATTGGATCGCTGCTCGTATAGCGAAGATTTGATTTGTTGTGAAATTTATACCGATCCCAAACACCCAATGTGCTCTCTGAGAGCCAGGTTTTCTTTTCTTTTTTTTTTTTTTTTTTTTGTGGAATCTCAAGTTAAATGGATCCTGTACATCACCCGACCCCGTGGGTAAATCATTAAATGCGGAATGATGGACCTGAGATTACAACAGAATGGCCGGAGGTATGTTCAGCGGGAGTTCACAATATCAGCACAGATATCAAAAGGCAACAATCCCATTACACAGACCAAGAATCATTCGTGAGGTGCATGAACTTAAAGACACATGCTCTAAAAAAGCAAATTTCGATTTGATAAAAAGCAACGGAAATCTGAGGAAGGCAGGAGAGTTCACGGTCGTAAAGTTATGAAAAGAAAAGCGGAAATTAACACTAGTCTAACTACAATTGTTATTGATCGAATTACTACAAACTTCGAATTTAAAAGTAGGTTATATGTCTTTTGTTTATATCCATAGTGCCGTGGCATATTGTTTGGAATTGTCCCCGGGTACCAGCTATAAGCGGTACCTGATTTCGAGGTTGTATTCATAATAAGCGATGCAAAGAGACCTAAAGAATAACAGAATAAATATTCTGAGAAAAAGTAAAGAAAGAAGACAAGAGAAGATGGGAAAACGAGAAATCAAATCAGAGAAAGGTTATCATCACAAATATATTTATATGGAGATGGCGGAATGTTTAAGCGAGCCAAGCTCGAATTCCAGTTGACTCCGGCACATTCACATTCGTGCAAATAAACATGAGTAAGGCAGAGCATATGCTTAAACAAAATGTATCTATAAAAATAAAGTAGCAGTATAAATTATATTAAATTATTTACGGACTTTATCCAATCCAAGGCAACAGATATATTGTGTCAATTTTGATCGTCGTTTTTAACTAATTACGATTAATTCTTCTCCGACAAGGAGAAATGTTATATATATTATTTTTATAATATATATATATATATATATATATATATATATATATATATATATATATATGTATATGTGTGTGTGTGTGTATGTGTGTGAATATATATCTATATTTTCATCATAATATATATATTAATATATATTTATATATATATGAATATATATATATATATATATATATATATATATATATATATATATATATATATATATATATATATATATATATATATATATATATATATATTCATTTATTTGCTTTGCTTTTTTCGTTGGGTCATTAAACAAAGGATTAGAACTCATTTTTTAAATGCAAAATAAATACTGAGGCTAAAACTATCATCTATAAGATAGATAGATAGATAGATAGATAGATAGATAGATAGATATGACCGTAATGAAGATAAATAGAATAGAATAGAATAGATAGATAGATAGATAGACAGACAGACAGATATTATAAAATAGCTGGTTTACGAAATCTATGCCGTTACAAGAAGGCAAAGAGAGTTTCTGTTAGAATGGCAATGCAATAAATCTGTATGGAGTCTTAAATTTATCTGATTTTAAAATAGGGGTAATAAAATAAATGTGATGATTTATTAAGTTAGAAAGTAAATTAAATGAAAATCGTTATTTACATGAATTCGAACAAAAAACCTGCAAATAAAAACTTTAAGGAAAGAATGAACGAAGAAAAGAAAGAAAGGAAGAAAGACAATGAATGAAACAGACTAACAAAAAATAGGAAATTAAATAAAACCATTGCCTTAAATTTTTGGAAAAAATAAAGAAAACCTGAAAATAAATATAAATGAAAACTTCGAAGAAAAATAAGGTAGGAGAGAAAACGAAAGAAAAGGTGAAAAAGAAAGAAAGATAGAAAAGAAAGTAAAAGTGAAAATTATATATTACATCCTTGGATATATATATATATATAATTTAAACTGAAACAAACAATGAAGGAAAGAGAGTGACAGAAGGAAACAAAATGAAGGGAAATGAAAATTCTTCTTTCGTAAAAAGGAAGAACAAATAAATAAAGAGAAATACGAAGGAAAAAGAGAAAAAAGAAAGATAAGAAACGAAAGAAAAAGCGAAAAACAATGAAAGAGAAAAACAAAAGAATAAAATGAAAGAAAGAGAAAGACAATTGAATAAGAGAAAAAAGAAAGACAAAAAACGGAAGAAAAAGAGAAAAACGAAAGAAAAAAAGAAAAAAGAAGGATAATACCTAAAGTAAAAGAGAATAAAACGAAAAAAAAAAGAAAAAGACTCAACATCATCACTTGATAAGACACCGAGGGTGTTGAAACAAAATAGCTATTTTTTGTAGTGATTTTATAACATATTTATGTTATAATTTTTTTTTAAATAAATGATTATATCTGCTCTAATTTGTATTGAGCACTCTTTTTAAGAATAGTAATTTTTTGGTTATTGGAATTCATTCCATATACACAATCATATACTTGGGTATATATATATATATATATATATATATATATATATATATATATATATATAAACTGAAACAAGGGAGTGAGAGAAGGAAACAAAATGAATGGAAATGAAAACTCTTCTTTTCTAAAATTAAAATGAAAGAAAACGAATTTGAACGCAAGAATAAAAGAAGGAAAGTAAAATAAAAAGCTTTATTTTCAGAGTTGAAAAGAAAAGAAAGAGTGAAGAAAAGACTGTAAATAAGCAAGAACAGATAAAGAGAAAACGATTGAATAGAATATTGTTCTGAAAAAGAAACATGAAAGAAAATCTCGAAAAGAAATTACAAGGAAGAAAGAAATAATAAATGACGTCACTTTCAAATCTCAAAAGATACTCGTAAAAAATGTAGGACTGATGATAAAAATGAAAAGAAGAAAAAAAAATTCAAATGACATTCAATCAAGACCCTAACTCAAAAGCCGAAATGCTTTCACAGAAAGTGAAAATTGGACAAAAAATTTGGATTGAAGTTTCTTTGAACTCCGTTTCTATGAGAGGGCCAAAGTGAACTTCTCTTCTTCAATTGCGAAAAAAAGAATAGAAAATGAACGCCCACAAAAAATATGAAACTATCAAGCGAAATCTGCAGCGATTGTAAAAAATGGATAACTTCAAAGATGTACGTCATGAAATATGAATCTTACTAGAAATAACATAGAACTTTTAAAAAATCCCAATATAAATATAGTGGTAATCGGTTCGAGAATAGTAATCTGGACATTATATTCACCTAACATCGGTTCAAAGAGGAAATTATTCGTACTGCAATAGTGTACATGAGACGCAACATTGTCACAGATCAAGTAAATGTATTCTTCTTCTTCTTCTTCTTCTTCTTCTTATTATTATTATTATTATTATTATTATTATTATTATTTATTTCCTTTGATTTCTGTCATTTACACATTTCTTTCCGGGTCCCGACCAGGGATCTAAGGTTAGAAATGGCATCATGACACTTTCCACTTACAAAATAAAAATTACATAGATAAAGCTCTTCGTAAAGTGTGGCCTGTACTTGTCAGAACAATTTCTGTATGTCTTTGAGGCATGGACTTCCAGGGATCCCTTCAATTAGTCTACTGGAGTCTTTTCCAACCAATCTCAGGGCTCCAACTACAACAGGGTTTGTTGATGTTCCCATTGCATTTCTTTGTATACTACGAGCTACTATCAAACCTCATAAGCGATGAATTGTTCTGTATCAGAAGATGTAAGACTATTGTAGTCATTGTAAGGAGAGAAATCTACATAAGAAGAGGGAAGTCCTTTTTTTAAAATTAATATAGGTGATCAGAGACTTGATCAAAACTTTTATTTGCTCCTTCAGATGTCATTCCCGAAGAACAATAACAAAAAGACTATATTGTTATCTCGAGCTAACTTAATCTACCGAATTTTATATAGTGCCCTTGGCATATAGTGAGTTTCTCAATTAATTGAAATTATTTTTTTGGCAATATCCGAATGTTCCCAATTATACCAGATCGCTTACCCTGTCCGAATGCTGAAATTTCACAGGATAGTAACTTTCTGATTCATCAAAATGTGTTGGCTTATAATCCTGCCCAATTCTCTTTACGAGGGAAGCGGAAAGAACAATGTATTGACCAATCTGTCTATTAGACAGCTCTGTCATGCCATTGTGCGTACCATGCAGCAGAATCTGCTGCTGGAATGTTTCAGAACATTACATCGGTAGTTGCTGGTTGCAAGGAATTGATCCTGAGCAGCAATTATCATTATTAGTGATACCCATAAATGTTATACCTATAGTACCTTTGAGATAGTTACATCATTCTGGGATCAGAGCAAAAAATATTCATATCTTAAGGGTAGTCCACTTTCTCAGACTAGACTCCGTGTCATTGTTTCTGTCTACAGGTAATTCATTACTCTTGAAATAAGGGCAGTAATGTCCAGAGGGTACCGTTCCGGTGGCAGATCCGTCTTTTACACCAAGAAAGAGGGTCAGAATAATTTAGGCGATGTCGTAACAGTAGACGCTTCTAATCGGTTTTTCGCCTAGGTCCTTACGGACACGTATGAGCATCGTGCATATAGATGACCATATATCCCAGCCTCTTCCAGTAGAGGGGTAGATAAATACGTAAACAGAGGTCCTGCGCATTCTATCTCGGTTCAAAATGCCGCAACTCAGAATATGATAAATCCTTCCTTTTGAAGGACACCGGATCATCAGGTAACACTTCCAACAATGAAATGAAAGGAAAAATGGGATTAGAAATTGATGGGTAGTGTAATGTTTGTAATTTAACAGGGCGGGGGATCGTTGTAGTCAACGAGACAAGGTATAGTATAGATGGGGGGTAAATTTCACATTTCTCTTAAGCATGTTTTATATTGGGGTAGGATGAGTGACATAATCGTGACCTATTTAGATGGTTAACTTAACGGAAATGATATATAGGAATGGGATATAGAAAAAAAAATTAAAAATGGAAAGGAGAGAGAAGACAGACATATATATCTAAATATATATTGATCTCATTTCATCCTCTTCGAATTACCCAGTCGGTTTACCATTCTTCGTAACTTCATATATATATATATATATATATATATATATATATATATATCTCGAACCTCTAACCTATATATCTGTGAGCAAAACAGTTAATGCACGCTATATGCGTCTCCGTATAATATACAGGTTCGATTCCTGTCGGCGGACGATTATTTTCTATGAAAATTTTTCGACATTCAGGCCGGTAAATGTTACTCATGCTGTTTATTATAAAATAGAGCATTTACTTAAATATTTATATCTATAAAATGGATGTATAAACATAAAGATGTATTATATATATATATATATATATATATATATATATATATATATATATATATATATATATCTATGATATAATAAGTGACCAAAGGACAAAGCGTTTCACATATGCCCGCTACTCAGAGTTTCGTGGGTTGTAACAAAATTGTCAGGCGCTTGACAATAAGAAACTTCTAAAAATATTATTATTGGATAGCTACGTTTTCTTTTTGTTAAGCATTTCACCTCAAGCCAGGGATTACAGTGAGTAAGAGCGAGAGTAAAGAGGCGTCATGGAAAAAAGAATGAAGACAAGGACAGGGCATCTGGAGAAGTCTATCGACAGTACATTTGAATAGTTGGAGATTATTGTCTATCAGACGTATGCTAATTAGTAACATCCCACCTGAGAGAATGAACAGAATGACAGGAGAGTTCCATAAGATTTATACGAAGCTCTTTGATTTACTCCTCTTAGTAACTATTCAACTAAAGTAAAATTCCAAGATAAGCAAATCATTATTATTATTTCTTTTAATTGCTGTTTTATACACATGTCCTCTCGCGTCCCAACAAGTTAGCTCAGAAAGGGCTTCATGACATTTCCACTGATCATTCGTGCAAAAACAAATATTCTTTTATATCTAGGTGTATAATTTATACATCGAGATATAAAATAATTCTACTCTTCTATAACAGAACCCATGCTAGATAAGGCCATCTCCTTAGGTCAATATTTTTGTGGTCTAGTATATTTGCTGATTCCTTAAGTTAACGAATTTTCCAGTGATGTACTTTGTCTATGATCTCAACCTGATACTTTTACTCCCCATATGTGGTCAGCTACTAAAATGTCCTGAGCCGACCAATCAAAGAAATGAATACAATATACCAGTAATAAAGATTGCCAGTGAAAAGTGATAAGAACAAAAAGAATGCAATATGATCACTGGTGAAAAACAGTTGCTGAAGCCAGGTTTATAATACCCAGAACTTCATACGCAGATGTCCTCAAGGACACATGGCGCACTGGATAAAGGCGTTAGTTAGATCCAGTGACAGGGCCCAAAGAGTGTGAGTTCAATACCTGGTTAAGGCGGTGGAGAACTTGGATAGGTGAATTAACAGGAGATAACTGATAACTGACATCCATTCAACATGGCACGTGGAACTAGAACAGTCTATCTCAAAGAGCGAAATAAAGAGTTCAGTTCGACATTCCAGCCACCTGAAGAAGGCCGAAACATTGTAATAAATATGGTGCCAAAGATGAGGACAATAGTCCGAATAATATAAATAGTGTTGGTAATGAAGATTGCCTTTCGTTCAAGATCATATTATCCTAACTACTTATTATCCTAAGTACATATTTCATGAGTATAGCACCGCTCTCGTCATCGATTCTCTGGCATCTATGGGAAATGTGAAAGACCTATTGTCCCTAGATTCTTTCAGGTTCTTATATGCTATTTTCCAACGATCATGACCCATTTCTACCACATCTGTGCTTTTATATGTAATGAGAACTATTGCCTCCCAAGAATTGAATAAAGTGTCCAGTGTGAAATTCCCAAAAGTACTCCAGTTGTTATAGCTGAATAATTCTGGATGTTACATCGACCGAAATGTGACTATAACACCTAAGATGAAGACACTAACCAATGAATGTATAGCAATTGATGACTAAATTTCTATTGGAAATGGTCACACTTTGAAAGGTGAAGATAGCACAAAATAAACACATGAATTAATTATGCGAAAATTTGTGTGGTACACTGAACAAAGTTACGACTTCCAAAATTCTCAGAGTATTTACCTTAAAAAAAATCACATATTCGTTTTTGTTTTTTTAATTTGGGATTGACTAGTTTCATTGAAAGCAACGTTTCTTCATATTTACAGACGTGTACTTGTTTACGTCAAATGTCTTCCAAGCGACTGCAAGATAAAAAATATTCGTCATTTGAAGAGGCGCTCACTCGAAATAAAGTGTTAATTTCCGCAATGCTTTTTCGTTACAACGATCGATGCTATTATTCTACACTTTACAAGAAAAAAATGTCCGGGAAGAATCTTATTTCTTGAAACGTTTTGAATGCAATAGATTGTTATTACTCTGAGAAAACTTCTTTTTTTTTTTGTTTTCTAAATCTAAGTAAAACCTAAAATTTATGGGATAAAAACTATTTTCGAATTATCCCCATAGTTTTAATGCTTGACTTATTTTTAATTTCATTTTCTTTTTTCTTCATTTTATCGTTAAGCGCAGTGTACAACGGATTTCACTTAGCAGAGTTCAAATTAAAACCTCCTCTCCAGCGTTCACTTTCGCAAAATATCCTTCAGGAACACAATAAATTCATGTTTTCTCTTCGCTTACCAAGCAACAAAGACAGGTCTGTTTAGCATTACGTAGTAATCTTTCTAAGAGTAAGAAAACTCTGAATTTCGAATTTTGAAGATAGAAACAGGAATTTACTCCCGTATATGAAATCATGAAAATGCACAGATAATAATAAAAGGAAACAGTGAAGAGCCATGATCCAGGAGAGAGATGGATTTTTTTACATTCACAACTTTTAAATAAGAAGTAATGATCAATGTACTATTCCTGTAGTTGATAGCCCTTCTGAGAAACTGTAATTCCGGAGAAGCCAAACCTGGCCAAATATTGAAACATCAGATGAAGATATTGTTTTTAAAACGTTTCTTGCGTTCAAAGATTTAGCAGCCCATCTTAATAAAGTAAGCTCGCTTCAGAAAAACTTCCTTGATAATCAGTAAATTTGATCCACATGCCGTATACTTAGTGTTTTTCTTTGTGTTTTTTAAGGTATATCAACCCCAATGGGTTATTTAATGCAGGCAAGACATTTAGGGTAGGTTTGTATGAATAGAATACGTATTCTTTGTAAGAAATCAGATTGGTTTGGTTTAATTTTTTATGTTATATCAACCTCAATAGTTTATTTAATGCCGGCAAGACTTTTAGAATAGTTTCGTATGAATAGAATACGTATTCGTTGTAGAGGAAATCAGTTTGTAGATCAGGTTGCATTGTCTTACTTTTGTTAAAAGTTTTTTTTTTTTTGTCAAGAGTCATTGCTGGTAATCTTTTTTTTTCAAACATTAATTGCTCGTAAGTTCTTTTTTCCAGAAATATATTGCTGTTATTTTCTTTTTTAAATACATTGCTGGCATTTTTTAAAAATACATTGCTGGCATTTTTTTTTTTTTTTGCATTTGCTTCCGGATATATTTTATCGACGGTATACTTAGTGATTGAACGAAAGCCAAATAGAAAAATTACTAGTTTACTAGCCCCCATCACCTAGGATGCAAGCTTACAAACATTTCCCATAGAAACACCATTTCGCATACCATCACCCAAATTAAACAGCGTCCACCCTGCTCAGTACCTGAATGGGTCACCTCATGCGAATACCAGGTGCTGTAAGCTTAGATGTACGTCTAGTGTAATGGATAACGGTTCGAATTGGAAATTGTAGAGCCGGTTTCCAATCCCAGTCAGGATCGTTATGTTCACTTACTCTTGGAAACGATATGAATATAAATTATTTTTTCCAGCTATGGGTTAAATAGTAGGAGTTGTATTCTTATTATCTGTAAAGAATTGTTATAATCTAAAAATATTTTCTGGCTTTAAATAACCTGAAACTAGTTGATAAAACCTAAAAGAATCAAGACATCTAGTGTGACCAAAGAATTCAGTAATTCTAATAAAAGGAATTATTTTGAGATTGTCTAAGAAATTTTCTTTTTGACTGTTTTAGACGAAATCAAACATGCAATATTTACTTGGTAGATACTTTTGGGCATGGTTGTTTTCTGTCGACTCTCTCAAATAATGTTAAATCTCATTTTCGTGCTGTTTTTGGACTTGCATATCAGTCGATATAGAAAAAGGAAATGAAACAGAACAAAAAGTACCATAATATTCCTTCGGGAGGAAATCACTGAGAAGTTCTGTCGGAAGAATAGTGTATCGTGGCTATTCTCAATTTTAAATTGATTTATGGTGCTTGACTCTTTTAACTTGAGATGAGACACCTGTCACGAAAAAAGTTCTTGATTGGAACAAATTCTCGTAGCGAATTTCAAAGAAAACATTTAACTATTTGTACAAAGGTATATTCAAATACAGTTTACGATGGATAAATTATCGTCTAAATTACACAAAAATGAAAATAATACTGACATTTCATTTTAAAAAATATAGTTACCAAACTGACACAAAAATATCAGTATTGGTTTCAAGCACGGCCTCCAGACAATTTTGGAATCCACTGCAACTCTTCTAGACGGTCTCCTTGTTGAAG